GAAACGGGAGGAGAGAGGGTTAGCAACTTGCTCAAGGTCAAGTTGGGCTCCAGCACCCAAGCTCCAGTGCTAAATGTGATCTGTCACCATCAGGGACTTCTTTTGAGAACAGAGGCCCAGGTCACTTGACTGAGGTCATTAAGTGGACATGACTTTAGCGTCCTGGCCTACGTAACTGCTAACTATTCTTTCCACTATGCCGTAGGCCCGTGAGTGTTTATTCTGTTTATCGACTGAGTTGTGATCAAGAGCATAAAACTCCAAGGTATAAGACCGAATCCGATAATCTATTGTTTGTACAGAACTCTCCAGTCTTGTTCGCTTTCTGAGTCTGAGCAACAATCTTATGATATCTTTGAGCTAAATGTGAAAAATGTTCCTTCCTCCGCTTGTTGATTAATATTTCTTGAAAAAATGGATTTCCATATACATAGCCTAAAGAGAACTGTGGGCAGTTAGACATACTAATCAGAAGAGGGCTTTGTGTTTTAGAAAAGGTTAATTAAAATCCATCGAAATTTTTTCTTTAAAACATTAAAGTAAAATAATGTTATTAGCTCTATTTTCCTCTCTCTTCCCAGAGGGCAGATGTAAATGTTCTACCTAAATGAAGCCGTTTATTTAAATCTATCCAGATTTCTTTTGAAATTTCATACATCTTTCTTCTGCTGTATCAGCTTATAGCTACAATAATTTAATAAGTTTTTCCTAGGGTGAAATTGGATGCCCTTTATCGATCTTACACTGAGGGGGCATTCAATTACTTAATTTAAAATGCTATTTCTGGGTCTCTCAATTACGATTTTGTTATAAATGGCTTGCTAATGATGCTTGGGGTGCATAGGTTAATAGGGGGCATCCTAGCCAGGGCCGGGTAATTGAACGTTTTCTATTTTGGGACCAGTTATCTGATTTCTCACGGTGCTACTGGTTCCCACAGCTGCAGGCTGCATTCACAGGGCACAGCGCTGAGCCCAGGCTGAGAAGTGATCTCACTGAAATGCATACCTGGGACTTAGGTCTGATACCTGAGTGGGAGGCCAAGGGTCCTGTCTAACCGAGTCCACTGGCACCGAGGTGTGGGCGTTCCAGACAGGTGAAGTGTAAGGGGCATGCGTTGCTCATTTTTTAAGGGAGAACAACCTTAGTGTTAGGTTTTTCGGGGAAATTTGCGGCGTGTGGAAAAGGCCAGTTCGGGCGGTCTGTTTTCTTTTCAAAACAGTCATGTCGATTTGATTTTTCTTCACTGAGTTATGCTGGCTAATAGTTATACGCATTGTAAAGATCCTTTTTGCACTTGGGCACATCCTAGCGCTGACTCTGGCCTTCCAGGCTCTGCGGAGTCTGGTCCCCGCCTCCTCCCTCGTCTGGTCCCCAGCCGCCGCCCGTCCTGCAAAGCCTTTATTTAATCTCCAGGTTCTCTTTTTTGCTGGGTCGTTACTTCTCCGGATCCCCACACGGCTGGCTTCCTTGCTGTCATTCAGGTGTCCCTCCCAAAGCTAGGTCTTCCCTGGCCTTTCCGTCTGCTGTACCTCCTGTTCCTCTCAGGCGGCTGTTCTTCCTGCGGGGCGAAGGTCGGGGGGTGCTGCTCAGCACCCCATAGTGCACAGAACAACCCTGACAGCAAAGAGTTATCCAGCTCTCGCGCCATGTGGAGAACCTCCGTTCTAATGGTTTTCTTATATTCTTTTTTGTTTTCTTCATTGCCTTTATTGACATTCGAGATAATGATCTTATTCATGTGTGACTTTTTTTATTGTCTGTTGCCCCGGAACCCCAACGTCCCGGTGGAACCCGAGCTCCAGGTGGGAACAGGCCCGTCGTGGTCTCCCCGCGCCACCCCTGTCCAGTTGGACGAGAGCTGGTCTGGAAGCCTTGGTGCTCCCAGCTCTGCACTTACCAGGGTGGGTGCCCAGTCACGTGTTCGCTTGGTCACACGACTGTTACTCTTCATCAACGTTATTGAGGTGTATTTTACTAGACACTGGCCATATGTTTCGGTAAAATTTGTCAACGTTAGTTTTGTATTTTTTTTCAAAGAGAGTCCCCCCCCGCCCCCGGCGTGTTTTCCCACACCAACACATTCTCCACCTCTCCAGACACCAGCTGGGTGTCGTATAACTCAATTCAGTTCTGACACTAACTACTCAGAGTCAGCACAGACCCGCGGATTTAGGGGCTCAGTCCCTGAAGACGGCTCCACTTCAGATGTGCAAGTATTGGGTCCCCAGGCTGCCCACTTCTGTCTGACTTGACTACAAATGTCAAGGTTCCCACTACACCCTTCTCAAGTTCAATAACTTGCTATAAAGACATGCAGGACTCGGGAAAGTGCCTTAGTTACTGTTACCAGTTCGTTCTAAAGAACATGGCTCAGGAACGGCCTGATGAAGAGATGCATGGAGCCAGGTGTGCACGGAGGGGCCCAGAGCTTCCATGCCGTCTCTGGGGATCCACCCCCCCACCAGCACCTCCATGTTCACCCACTAGCAAGCTCTCCGGATCCTGTCAGCTGGAGATCTCTGTGGAGGTTCCGTTACATAGGCACGACTGATGAAATCATTGGTGATTAACTCAATCTGCGGCCTCTCTTCTCTCCTTGGAGGTTGAAAGTTCCAAGCTTCTCATCAAGGCTCGATCTTCTGGTGACCAGCTGCATCCTGAAGCTATCTGGGGGCCCGCCAAGAGTCACCTCATTAGTTTAAACTAAAGTGTGGTTGAAAGGGGCTTCTTATGAATAACAATCTATCACTCAGGAAAATCCCAAGGCTTCTAGAAGCTATGTGCCAGGAACCAGGGACAAAGACCAAATATTAATTTTTTGTTACGTTCCCCCCCCCCCAACATCTTGTTCTGGCTCCAGGCCCCATATCTGGACTTGTGTCTTCAGCAGGCACCTGGTGAATGACAGGACGAATGAATGAATGAATTATAAGAGACGATATGACACTGTCTGAGTGTTTTTTAAGGCTCCTAAGGCATGTGGAATTGTCTCCCCAGTCCTCTGCTCCCCGTTTTATGTTTGAGCGGTGGGCCATGGAGTGGGTGGGCACAGTCTGCCATGGGGACAGACACTCTGGCTGACCAGTCCCAGAGCTTTGTCGTGGACACTGTCAGCTTCTCCGTCAACCCAGGGCTATTTATTTACTTTACTTGAAATGAGAAACCTTTGTTCTTGATTAAGAATGTTTTGTCCATTCTGTTGGGTCCAGATTTTGTACATTCTTGTCTTGGAGCATCAAAGACCTTTTTCAAAAAAAAAAAAAAATCTAATTAGGGCTTTTGCAGCCAGAGAAACGGAGGGCGGGAACTGGCCCCCCACCAGGATCCTGGTTGGAGCCTTGTCGTTCAAGTGTAAAAAGATGTTTCCTTGGCTTAGTAATGGGGTTGCCAACTCCAGGAGCTCGTCTGTTGTTTCTTTGGTTTGGAAGAATGATTTGTACCAAGAGATGGGTCAGGGGTGGTGACAAGTTCAAAACATCGGTTTGAGCCTTGAGGTTCTGACGTGTCTGTCCAACTGCTCTCACGGACAGCAGGGCCTGAGACGTCGCCTGGTGCCAGAGCAGTTTGCTCCCCCAGCCCCCACTTCTCCGTTCTTCTCAGAACTGCCCTGGCCCACGCCTCAGCCTTCACCGATAAGTTAAGCAGGGGACGCTTATCGACAATATACAGGACATTGTGTAGAAGACATTTAAGGAAACACTGCTTAGCTATTTCTTGGTCAATGAATTTTGATAAAACATGAGCCTTTTGGTCCAAGGGAAGGGAATGTTTCTGTTAGTGGGTTTTGATTGTTCAACTCTTCAGTCAATACAAGAAGGCTTTTAATGCAAGGTTAGTTAATACCACCTTCTCTGGGGCAGTAAAGATTGTTTTCCTTAGCACCCTTGGGTAAGGGTGCTAAGGAAAAACCATGTGATGAGATCTCCCATCTTTTATTCCATTTCAGATGTTCTTGGCATTCACTGATGATTAAAAATCATGGTAGTCATAATAGTCGTTGATAATGCTAATATTGTTGTTATCCACCTTTTAGGGGATGCTAAATATGTGTAGACATCATGCAAACTCTTTACATGCAGTATTTAGTACTTTTATAAACTTATACGGGAGGGTCTCTTCTACTAATTTTACTGATGAGGAAACCGGAACTTAGAGGGTTTATTTCTATGGTTTGCTCAAGGTCATGTAGCTAGTTAGCAGTGGTCTGTCACTGCAATTCTTACAACTCCAAAGACATGTCATCCAGGTTATATGTTTTATAACCACAGGACTTTATTACTGGATTTTTAAGAATCTTGTTTTCCCCAAGATGATGAAAGTGAAAAATGACTTCAGGTCTAAAGTGTTATGTTACTCGGGGGAATATTGCATATTGGATTTAATTGCTTAATAACTGAGACTCAGATGATGTTTTACATGATATGCTCTGCTAAAAAAGAGAATCGTTTCAGTGTTTCTAAGTTTTCATTAACTTTTGCTTCCTAAACTGATAATAAAGGTTAGCTCTAGGTAAGAGACTGTTGGTGTTATTGAGAGAGAAAACAACATTACTTCCTCTGTCTGTTTCCAACCTAACTATCCTCCTTCTTGAATTTTTCATTGACTTAAAAGCGCTGATTTCAAATCATCCCTGAAGTTCATAGTCAGCGGCCACACATGAATCCGAGAATGATTGCAATGTCCCGAGAGTGCGGGATCCAGTAATTTCGCTCTGTCAGGTAGAGGCATTAGAGGACAGGTGAGTTGTGCAAAATATGAGGTGTTTGATGTGGTACCAGTGCTGCCGGGGTTGGGGCCACATTTGGTGGCAGAGTTCGAACCCCAAAGCCAAGCACTAAGGCTCTGAAACCTCTCCCTTAATTCTATACGGTTTTCTACGACTTGCTTACTACCAAGCAGGCTTGGCTGAAACTTCAAAATCCTCTCTTTGGAAGATGGCCCTTGGGTTATAGCTATTATTACATAATGTAATAAAACCTCTTTTCTTTGTCGTTTAGGTAATCTGACATTTGAAAGATTCTGCTCCCCCCTGAAGAGGAAACATTTCAAAGGAACACGGGATGTAGAAGAAGCAATTTCCATGGGCATCTCCATGGACGGTGTGCCAGTCCATCCCTCACTGAGACCATGATATCTGCCAGTGTCTTGGGTGCTTCCACGTTCTCCGGCGAGAATTCTTCCACTTCATTTTGTGCCATGGGGAAAACCTGAAGGACCGGCGGGATTGCTCCTGAACTTGTGGCTTTTCCAGCGGTTGCAGTGGCGCGGGCAGAACATGACGATCGGCCATCACGTCCTTGAGTTTTCTCTCGGAGTCGAACCAAAGAACGCCCTTCCTCGTTCTTGCGTGCTTTGGCACTTGCTCATTTTTATATTTGTTGCTGCTGCTTGTGCCTTCCGACCATCTCATGTAATCACAAGACGTCATTAGAGTTCCGCAGCACGACCTGCACGTACCCGACTCCTTGCCCATGGCTCGGTGGGCCGGCCGCCCACGGGTGTTACCATGAGGCACTGCGTTAACTGCTGCATACAGTTGTCACCCGACGACACACACAAACAGCGGATCGGCTGCCAGGGAGGCCCCCAGCACTGCTGCCAGGAGTGCCCCACGTGCAAGGGAGAGAACAAAATAGTGTTCCGTGTGGACGGTAAACAGATGAACTTGCTTGCTGTTCTCGAAGTGAGGGCTGAGGGGAGCGAGAGCTGGGGCGGGTTGTTGCGTTTCAAGAAGGGAAAGCGATGCAGCCTTGTTTTTGGGTTGATAATAATGACCCTGGTGATGGCCTCCTACATCCTTTCTGGGGCCCACCAAGAGCTTCTCATCTCATCGCCTTTCCATTACGGAGCCTTCCCCAGCAATCCCAGCTTGACGGACGGTGAAAACCCAAGTGACATGAAAGAGCATCATCACCAGCCCTCTGTAAATAATATTTCATTCATCAAGGACTACCCGAGCATTAAATTAATTATCAACAGCATCACAGCCAGGATTGAGTTCACGACCAGACAGCTCCCAGACATAGAAGATCTCAAGAAGCAGGAATTGCACGTGAGTAGTCTTGTGCGAATCTCTACTGATTGACAGATTTTAAAAAATGGATGCTTCCTTTCCCCCCACCATCTTTAGGGACACAAGAAGAAAACGACCCCCGAATTTCTCAAGTATAACAAGGATAATTGGACAGCCTTGTGGATGGATCACAGTGCCCTGGGAGGGTGCTGTCTGTTTACAATGTTTGTGCCAAGAAGGAAATTCACAGTACTGATCGGGACAGCTAGAAACGGTGGAGGATGACCCCTTCTCATAATTCCGTTCTGGGACTTCTTGCTTGAAACGCGGTCACGGCAATTAAAGTTGCTTCTGTAGATCGCCGTCATCCTGTTTCTATTCTGTCCTAATTAGTATTTTTGTCTCTGATGGCCATTTAAATATACAACTAGTAAAAATATTCCATCTGTTTCATTCAGACCGTCGTGTGTGTACGAGAGACGGGGAGAAAGAGAGGAAAATCATGGTAGAATGGATTTTGGTTCAGCTTTCATCTTCCTTCTCTCCAAAATTTATTTTTCATTCTGGGCTAAGGAAAAACAGGGTCATTCGCTCTTTGCCAGGTTTCGCTTGACTCCAGCATTTAGTCATTGTAAATACGACTTCAGGTTTGGACGCTGGAGTGAGTATCGGAGCCGGGAGCGCGTGTTTGGGCTAACGTTCTTCCTCCCGGGGGGCCTCTCCCTTTTCCCCTTTCTCGTTGCAGATGTTTTCGGTCATCCCCAACAAATTTCTTCCAAATAGCAAGAGCCCGTGCTGGTACGAGGAGTTCCCGGGGCGGAACAGCACCGACCCCTACGTGAGCAACTCGTACGCGCTCTACTCGCGGCGCTTCCGCTCCACCTTCGACGCCCTGCGCAAGGCCTTCTGGGGCCACCTGTCCCACGCCGCCGGCAGGCACTTCCGCCTGCGCTGCCTGCCGCACTTCTACATCATCGGGCAGCCCAAGTGCGGCACCACCGACCTGTACGACCGCCTGCGGCTGCACCCCGAGGTCAAGTTCTCCGCCATCAAGGAGCCGCACTGGTGGACGCGGAAGCGCTTTGGTGAGCGCGCGCGCGTGCGCCGTGGCTGCCCGGGGAGGGGGCCCGGCGTGTCCCAGTCTCCACCTGTTGCACACGTCGGGGTCATCAGGGTCGGTGGGAGCCGAGAGAGCCTAACTGTGGGCCTGTCCCCGTGCTGGGCTCTGTGTGGCACGGGCGGGGGAGATGAGAAAACCCGCTGAGACGCAGGGATCAGATCACTTATATGTCTAAGGTCCCGGCGAGCAACCCAAAGGGCTGGAACCCAGCTCCCGGCCACCCAGGGCGCATTGAGTGCGAGCTGTGTGTAGGCCAAGGGGAAGGGTGCAGAATCCGCAGCTCATCTCGTCCGGAAGAGCCTTGGCGCCTGTGCCAGTGGTCAGTGCCAGGTGCAAGGTGGACATTTGCCTGGGCCTGTCCACACCCAGCTCTGCGCCTGTCCTGCCAGAACCCCCTCACTGGGAGGGGTCGGTAGAAAGAAAGGCTGCCGCATGGACCGCGGTTTCAGCTTCCTGCTGGCTCAGCCGATGGGCTGTGAGCGTGTTATTGAGGTGTTTGTGCCTTGTTTTCTCCCACTTGCCCCATCTGCCACACAAGGATAATTCCTGGCAACCTTGCTCACAGCACCCCCTTCCCGTGGGGTTGGCTGTGGACATGGCCCAGCCCTTCTGCAGGATGGTTTCTGCTCCGCCCAGCTGAGCCACGGCCCTCAGGTCACTCACTGTTTCCGCTCCTTAACCTTTTTCCTCTGCCAGGAGACGTTTGGTCACTGGAGCTAAGGGATGACAAATGCCAAAGTCCGGGTGGGCCAGAGGGCGTTTTCCATGTAAAGGACCCAGGTTGCTTAGAAGGGATTCTTAAGTTTTTCTTAGTGGAACCCAAGTTTACACCAACGCTTAATGTGTTTCATGACAAACGTTTGACGTGATCCTTTTGATGTCCTCCAGGAGTGGACAAGAGTATGAATCTGTCTCCTGGGGTTTGGCAGTGGCAGCCGTGGGGACCAGGTTTCACGTTTGTACTTGTGCGCGGGGCACTCTCCCTACACATTGCCATTCCACTAATGAAAACCAGGTCCCCCCCACCCCCACCCTGGCGGGGAAGACGGCTGCTCGACTGGGTAGGCCAGGAGACAGAGCCTCAGATAAAAAACCTCCCTTCCCTTTTTGATGCAGTGTATGTATCCTGGATGCAGCTGCCACGTGGCCATTTTAGGGTCTCACTTGGTGCTCAAGTTAACCAGCTTGGAACTCTCTGGCTCTCCAAATAGATACATTTATAGTTCTCAAACAGCTGTGCCATCCTTTAGGCTGCCACTTTGTGCCTTGATGGTGGTGTGTCCTACTCCTTGAAGTGTGTGTGGATTAAACTAAGGCGGCCAGTTCGCAGATGCCTGCCTACCTGCTGCCCGCTCCTGCAGCTTACCAGGCTGAGCCTTGGCTGCCGCAGCTGGCCTTGGGCCTTCCCATCCTTCTCTGTCACTCCCTACAAGGCCATCAGCCTGGCAGTGGCAGCTTTGTCCTCAGTAACTCCTGCTTCTTGTGTAGGAATTGTCCGCCTGAGAGATGGGCTGCGAGATCGCTACCCCGTGGAAGATTACCTGGACCTCTTTGACCTGGCCGCACACCAGATCCATCAAGGACTGCAGGCCAACTCTGCGAAGGAGCACAGCAAGATGAATAGAATCATTATCGGTATGGCTTCGTGGAGCTCCTGTGGGCCCCGCTCCTGCCCTGGGCCTGGCCCAGCTTTGCGGAACGTTTCCATGACACCTGCCCACATCTGTCGAGCATGCATTCCCCACCTGTCTGTCACTCTTACCCCTATGTGAAATGTTCACGTCACTTGCACAGTTTCTGTAAAGCAGAAATGTAGACTTTCTAGTTCGAGGAGACTCAAGGGCATCTGAAATGGCTTTTTAAAATGGTTGCCATTTCTTTGTCTTTATTTTAATTAAGCACACACACTTGGCTTCTTTACATGATAAACCGATCTAAGTGCGGATGGGAGATCATACATGCATTAACCTGGTAGTGTGGCTCTGGCAATCCCTGGGTGCTGGAACCCCACGAAGACGGAGGCAGACTTTCCTGAGACAGACACAGTTCCAGCGCATCCTCGGTGCCTTACTGCTGTTGAAAAGCCCAGCCTTTGTCACCCGAATGCTTTTAGACTTTCAAAATGAGGTGGTTTGATTAATAACCATTTTTTAATTCATAAGAATGTTTTATTAAAAGCATGTGTTTGTTGACTTATGTCTTCTGAAAGAGAAAAATCTAGTTGCATATTTTGCTTAAATTAGTTACCTGAGGCAGGTAACCATATGTATTTTTTGTTTTCCTAAATCTATTTTATTTTGATTCTCCAAATTCGGTGAATCTCTTAGCAACCAGGAGGAATTGTAATCAACCGTTTGAAAGGTACTCTCATGTCCAAGGTGACAGGCTTATGTGCCTAAGCCCTGATTGATGATTGATTGATTTAGCTCAAAACCAAGTCCTGGGAGCCAGATGAGATCACACCCCTTCCCTCCCCTGTGTGAACTGGCTAATAGCTATTTTCTTACGGCCTTGGAGTCCAAACACCATAAACCACAAGTCTAATTACTATTTGACTATGATTCCCACCCCGTGTGCCTCTGGGAAAATTTCATGTTCTTTGGAAAGAGCTGAAAATATGCATCCCAGGGCCAGGAAGTAGAGACCAAGATAATAAATGATAAAGGAAAGCCTTAGTTGGGTTTCCTAATTTTATTTACTTCTAGATTTAAAAAGGAAGAGTAAAGAATAAATGTGTTGCTCTGATGTTTACTCGAAGCAGACTTTGTTGAGTTTTCTGTTAGCAGAGAGGCAGATGGAAAGCTGGCATGGAGCCCTGCCTGTGCCACCATCCAGCTCTGTGCTGCATGACAAGCCAGTCTTCATGGCCCTGAACTCAGTCTGCACATCTGTAAAATGTGTCGTTGGACCAGATGGGTTCTGGGCCCCTCCTACCCGGAAATGTAATTCGGACTGCTTCAGCTCCCTCCGGTTGGGTCCTGGGTAGAAGTATAAGCGTCTTCCTTCATCTCAGCCCACAAGTTGGACAGAGGGCCTTTCCTCTGGGCTGATGGTCCAGGCTGATGGCTGGAGTCATGAGGGACTCGAGTGGCTGAGTCCTCTGGGGCTGGAGCTCTGGGTATACTGAAAAGCCCCTGATGTCGGGGCCGCCGCGCTGCCCCGTCAGCGTGCTCCCAGGAGGGCTCTGCTGGTTTGTCGCATTGTTAGTTTTCTAGATCGTACGGTCCGAGAGGGAAGGGGATTGTCCGTGTTTTCCCCTGATTATCCCCAGGGCCGAGCCGGTGCTGGGCGCATGTTAGTCATCAAACTAATGCTTCCCGGAGGCCTGGATGAAGGATGAGAGGAGGATGGATGGATGGATGGACGGATGGATGGACAGGGGGATAGACTGATGCTTCTGTGGTTGTAGAACCAGTTCGTTTATGAAGTTTGACAGAATCTGTGCCAATGTCGTTTTAGAGACTTCCCTCGTCCTAATATTCTCCTATTCATTGTGAGTAGAATTTTCAAAGGACTCCTGATTGACTTGTCTTTTTTTGTATTCTATGGTATTCTCTTAAATAAAAAAGAAAGACCAGAACAGAGATGCTCACCTGGACGTGATTGCATGTCCACAGAACCAATGGGGTCCCGCCCGCCCCCTGCACTGTGGTGACACTCTTATCACTGATCGAAGAGACTTAGTTTTTGGCTCAGACATTCCCTGAGTAAGTGACTTTGAGATATATCACAGAGTCTCCTGCAAAATATCAGGAAATTGAGTATGTAATTGATTGATTTGCCTTTCTTTCAAAACTCTGAAGACTGTCCTAAAAAAAAAAAAGTTAGAGAATCGATTCAGTTTTCTGAGAAATGTGGAAATATCTGTGTCTTGGCCTCACCTCTGTCCTAGAATGTATGTTTTAATAGTTTGTCCTGCATTTGTGCAGACCACGATGGAACGGGAGCAAGCACCAACTTCCTGTTTTCTCAGGCAGGACTGAGTGAATGCAGCTGTGTGCAGGGCAGTGCGGCAGGCAGGCCTGGAGGACTCAGAGCTTGAGACTGAGGTCCTGGGAGCCTCCCGCAAAGCCTTCCTCTCATTTATGCCCTGGGACTCACCAGTGTGTGATTTCAAAGAAGGACTGATGCAGAATGCATCCGGTTTCCTAATGAGGATCAGCTTCCCCAAGCCCCTGCTTCATCCCTGATGCTTTCAGAAGGGAGTCATCTCATGCACCCTCAGTGAGCCTTTAAAATGCCACAGAACTGTGCGCTGTGAGCCGAGTTAGAGATCGTGAAATGGGGAGGCCCGATGCTAGTAGAGGTGTTTTTGTGCATCCTGGGGAGAGGAGCTGGGAGGAAGAGGGAGGCTCGGTGTTGCATGGATCACCTTGATTTCCAGATGATTGAGGTCTTTGTGCGTGTGTGTGTGGGGGCGGGGAGGGTGTCATGAGGCAGAGGGTGGACCTCAGCTTCCCCTTCCCGGAGGCCTGTCTGCCCGTGTGGTGAACCAGCTCGCACGCTCACGGCTGTTTACGAAAGAGGCATCGGAGCCAGGTTTGGCCCCAGCGCAGGCTGCTCTGCGGAGGCCCATCACCGCCCTGCTCATGCGCATTGTCTTCCGTTTCCAGGGGAGGCCAGCGCCTCCACCATGTGGGACAACAACGCCTGGACCTTCTTCTACGACAACAGCACGGATGGCGAGCCGCCTTTTCTGACCCAGGACTTCATCCACGCCTTTCAGCCAGACGCAAAACTGATCGTCATGCTCAGGGACCCCGTGGAGAGGTGAGCAGTTTAGATTTTTTTGAGGGGTGAAAAGAAAAGGCAGTTGTGAAGAACAGACTCTTCCTCCTCATCACAAACAAGGTCGTGCCTCTCTTATTATTTATTTTTATTCTTATTTTTTAGATAAACACGTTTAACTTGCCATGTCACTGCTATTTCTTATGTAAATGTTATTCTTGGGGCAATCTTCACTGTGTCTAAACAGATCGTGGGTTGTTTAACTAGCCATTGTGACCCTGGTCTGTGGGTCTTCAGCCCCTGGCCGCTTTGACCTGGCGACTTGGGCTGCTCCTCGGGCCTCGTCAGGAAATGAGAAGCACTCTTGGAATCCTCCAGAATTCCTTGCCTCCTGACTGATTGATGCCTTTATCTCGTGGGCTCTGAGCGTGCAGGCTTTCCTTGAGAGGCCAGAAGGAAGGAAAACGGTGGACAGCCGCTTCGTTGTAAAGAGCGGGGGTTGCCCAGTGTGGATGAGGCAAAGCTAGGACGATATGGAACAGCCAGTGTGGGGAGGCCGGGCCAGCGCTGGGTGATGCCCACGTGGGTGGCAGAATCTCGAGGCTGCCAGCACCTTGCAGTTATCGAGTCTAACGTTGCCCCAACCGATTCCACATCAGAGGTAAGCGGGTTCCCGTCTGGTCGAGGACCCTTGGGTGGGAGTTCCCCACCCAGTATGGCCAATCCAGCTCTGCGAGGGCATTCTTCCTGTTTTGAGACCGAGTCTGTCTTCGGGTGGGTCCACACTTGGGACCCATTTCTTCCCCATAGAGCGAGCGCCAGAGATCACATCTGATCCTTCTGAAATGGGTGAGCCTGCCAGATGCTGCAGACGGCAGTCATGGCTCTGTGTCTTCCTTTCCTTTAGGCTAATCACCCTTCGTTACGGGTTGATTTATGCCCCACCCCCAGATGCGTGGATGCCCCCTTGTTTGGAAATGGGGTCTGTGCAGATGGACTCAAGTTAAGATGAGGTCATATTGGATTAACGTGAGCCCTTATCCAGTGGCTGGTGTCTTTATGAGAAGAGGAAATTTCGATGCAGAGACCCAGACACAGGAGAATACCATGTGGTAATGGGGGCAGAGGTTGGGGTGAGGCTGCCAGATGCGAAGGAATGCCTGAGATTGCTGGCCATGGCTGGCAGCCGGGATAGAGGTGTGGAACAGCTTCTCCCTCAGAGTCCCCACAGGGAAAGTCCCCAGAGGGGACCAACACCTGGATACCAGACTTCTAGCTTTCAGGACTGTGAGAGGATAAATTGCTCATGTTATAAGCCGCCAGTTTGGTAATTCGTCACAGCAGGCCTGGGACACTGATAACTGCCCTAGTTCCTTCCTGGCCCGGCACACAGTCCCGGCCCTGTGTGCTCACCAGTGATAGCAGTGAGACGTGTTCCTTGTGGAAATTTTAGAAAAGACATTGTTGGACTGTCTTTAAAAACGCCCGCGATCTCCCACCCAGATAACCGTTATTCGTATGTTGGTCTCTCTTCTTCCAGACTGCTCGTCTAGGCAGATGAGTGTGGTACGTGTGTGAACACAGCCTTACACCTTGCTTCTTCCCCTTCGCATTGCTGCCTCCAGAAGAACATGCCTAAAGGCCCTGCCCCGGCCACTCCACCCTGAACTTGACCCTCTCGTGGAGTTCTCAGAGTGGCCCCCGCTGCTCTCAGTGTGTTCTGGTCAGAGGAGAGCTGGCCGGTCCCCTCAGTCTCCGCCCTGCGGCCCTCCCGGTGCCGTGCGGGACACGTCTGTGACCACGGGCAGCTTCCTTCTGCCTCTGTGACTCTCCAGCCTCAGGAATCCATTTCTCTGGCTCCGAGGCGGCCTTGACCTCACAGCAGCTCCCATATCCCACCTGCCAGTTCCCACACAGTGGAGGTGGGAGTTCGGCCCTTCTGCCTGTGAAGCGGGCCGGTCCCCCTCGGTTGAGAACGGTTGACATGACCCATCGGGGCTCTCGAGGCATCATGATTACATAACTGTCAGCCTTGAAAGGAGAGGCCCGGTGACTAATGACCCCTTAAGGCCCACTGAGGTGTTTTTGCAGCTGTTCTGACGTCCGCCCCCACCCTGCCCCCAGCTGCAGTTCATGAGGTCGAAACATTCTCTAAGATTTGTGTTTCCTGCTCACCAAACGTCTTCCTGTCACATCTCCCTAGTTCCTCATTCCGAGGAAAGTCACACTGCGGGGGTCAGGGGTGAAGACCGTGGCCCTTTGTGGCTCCCTGGGCACAGAGAGGTGGGAACTGGTCCATGCTGGGACTTGGTTCGGTGTGTGCCTGCCCTGTCCTAGGCCTTGGGGAAGCGTGAGCTCACGGCTGGTCGGGGAGACAGGCATGGCCGTGGTTATTACGGTCTGCGGGTTATTACGGTCTGCGGATCCAGCAAGAGCAGAGGGAGGATGAGGTGGCTCAGGAGGGGGAAGCAGCTGCTGGGGAGGACGCCCTGGGACGAATAGTCTGGAGAAAAAACTGAGGCCAAGCTGGGCTTTGAAGGATGAATAAGAGTTTGCCAGGTGAACGAGGGAAGGTGGCCGGGGAAGAAGCGTCTTGAGCAGCAAGACGGAGCGTGTGGAGGTGACGACCACGTGAGCTTCCCCGAGCGTGTCCCTCTCTTCCCATCGTTCCGATCGTGCCCCCGAGGCCATGCGGGCCGTAAAGGTGCGCCTTCGAGCAGGGAGGGGAGTCAGCAGCGGGATCTGCCCCGCTCGCCTCTCGGACCCCAGCCAGAAGTCTGCCTTCCTTACCACGGCTCACGGGCCGCGAGCCGGCCATCCCGAGTAGTCACCCCCGTTTCCTTTCTTTGTAAGAATGAATACTCTGCTTACACTTTAGTTTATGATCACAAGCGCAGGCTTTTTGCCTTCCTGGCCCTTGACTCGACAGAAATCGTTTGTCCGTTGAAGTGTTTACTGCCCCTGGCCACGTGCCGGCCTTGTGCTTGCTGCTGAGCGCACGCACACCTGTGAGCGAGGGAGGCGTCACGTGCCCGCCGTCCAGGAGCCGGCGCGTGTTCACAGAAGCTGGGCGTTGACCCTCTCGCGATGGAGGGCAAGGGCAGGCTGCACGGTGGTGGCCTGCCTCCGGGAGCCAGCCCAGCGTGGGTGCGCCTGCTGGGTCCACCTTCTGCAGCCGTGGGACAAGTCCCCCGAAGCGCAGCAGCTTCAGACAGCACACTCACTGCCGGACGCGTTCCGAGCGGCAGAACCCGGCCCCGCTTCACTGCACTGCGGCGTGTCTCCCTGCCTGTCACCAGGGTGGGTCTCATCTGAAGGCTTGACCGGGGAAGGGTCCGCTCCATGTGGTTGTTGGCAGAGTTCAGTTCCTCAGGGGCTGTTGGAAGCAGGGCCTTCATCCTCAGTCGGCGCTGGCTGGAGGCCGCTGTCATGCCTTGCCACTGGCTTGCCACTTGCCAGCATGGCTGCGTGCTTCATCCGAGCCAGCAAAGGAAGGAGTCTGCTGCCAAGGCGGAAGTCTCTGTCTTTGGAAATCTGATCGCAAGAGTGACAGGTCTCACCTTTGCCATGCCCTATGGGTGAGCAGCAAGTCAGGGGTCCAGGCCACACTTAAGAGGAGGACATTACTGGGTGTGGCTACCAAGAAGCGGGGGTCCTGGGACCACCGTAGACGTCACCCACCAAACCCGCTCTCCGTTCCACTTTCTGGCCCCCCAGGCACTGGGGCGCGGCAGCCAGGAGAGGACTAATGGCCACCGTGGCGTCGTGCGTCATGGCAGGGCCTCCCGTGTGCGGCGGAACGCATGTCACGTGCACGGTCTCTGCGGGCGTGTGCGGTGGAGCACGTGTCACGTGCACGGTCTCTGTGGGCGTGTGCAGTGGAGCACGTGTCACGTGCTCGGTCTCTGCGGGCGTGTGCGGTGGAGCGCGTGTCACGTGCTCGGTCTCTGCGTGGGCGTGTGCGGCGAGTGCGTGTCACGTGCACAGTCTCTGCGGGCGTGTGCGGTGGAGCGTGTGTCACGTGCTCGGTCTCTGCGGGCGTGTGCGGCGAGCGCGTGTCACATGCACGGTCTCTGCGGGCGTGTGTGGCGAGCGCGTGTCACGTGCTCCGTCTCCGCGGGCATGTGCGGCGGAGCGCGTGTCACATGCGTGGTCCCCGTGTGGGTTGCTGATCGCAGCAGCTGTCCCATCGCTTTTTAAACATTTATAAAAATATGTGACAATAGGAATTTCCTCCTTTTAGAACCCGTGACTCATGGCCTCTCTGAAGTGGCTGGCTCGTTTCCCACCCCAGCCTGAAAGGAGGATAGATATCGGGGTGGTTAGGTCACTCTTGAAGAAACAAACACTCAGACCCCAAGTTTCCATAGTCTAATTGGGTCCCGGGCCGTTAGCTGCGCCCGTCATTCTGTGACCTTGCCCGTTAGCTGCGCCCGTCATTCTGTGACCTTGCCCGTTAGCTGCGCCCGTCATTCTGTGACCTTGCCCGTTAGCTGCGCCCGTCATTCTGTGACCTTGCACTCTGCAAGTGGGAGGTTCTCTGGGTTGCCAGCTGCCCGTGGGATTGGGCCAAATTATTCATTTCCTTCTACAAATTGGCTTGGAGATAAGGGGGGAACTTTTATTTTTAGTTTTAGATTTACATTTAGCTTTTATTCTATAATTGATCAAAGGTAGGGGTTTTGAAAATGTTGGAATTATAAGCAAAATCAAATCAGTCACTTTTACGTTTGCAGAGAAGGACGTAGATGGTAAGTGCATGTAGTTTTTGGAGGTGAAGAAAGGATTCGTGGCAAGTGGATGGATGGTTCTCGTGGCCTGGGCCGTTCAAGAATTCTTGTTGCAAGTTTCTCTGTGTAAGGAATAACAGTAATTTAAAACTCAATTGAAGCATTCATTGGCTACATTGTCCCAGTTAATTAAAAAGAAGCCACCAATACAAGCAGATTTTTTCATTTGATTCAGTTCTCAAGTGGAAAAGATTGTTCTTTTCAGTGCACCTCACGTGAGCCTGCTGCCTCTTCATTTGTGAGATGGTTGAT